TGATAGTGTGTGATATTTAGTGGTTGGAAGGTTTGCTGGAGGAACTGAGTGTCAGAGTTCCCTTGTCAATCATGGTATACTGTGACAACAGGTGAGCCATACACATTGCTAAAATCCAATTTTTCAAGAGAGAACCAAACACATATAAATCGACAAACATGTCACAAGGGAGTGAATCAAGACAGGTTTTATCATATTGCAACATTTGAGTATAGTGAATAAGCTTACAGATATATTCACCAAATGACTGGAGCAAGCACGACTCAAGGATTTGTTGGTCAAGTTGTGAGTCATACTTCCTGCCACAACTTGAAGGGGGGTGACAGAGTTATTGGTTTATATTAATCTGACTTGCAAATGGATTACAAAGAAGAAGAAGATTCGAAACTAGAAGGAAGAAACGTTTATGAGTAAATGATAGCTAGTCTATTAGTGATGTTGCGCATCGTTTTACTTTGTAATAGACTAGTCGTTAAATAATAGTTTAGGATTTAAACACAGCCAGTGAAAATGTGACACACCGAGATTATCTATAATCCTAATTGCTAGCTCAATACAAAAGAGTAGAGCAACTCACTACTGCATATGTGAGTTTTTTGTTATCCCTTACCCTAATTTCTAAAACTTATCAATGTGGAGTGGATTAACAGGTTGCATAGGAGTATATTCCCTCTCATTCATACTATACACTAGTAGTATAATTGAAGAACATTAAAATCTGAATGAGTTTGGTTGAGCATGCAACAGTCAAGGGCGGAGGCAGCTTGTTAGGAGGAGGTGCCCTAGCACACCCTTGCCTTGGGAGAACAAAGTAAAAGAGGGTTATATCATATTGTTTATAATGAAACCTTGTACATGGAACCACATTCCTGGTATTTAGTATTTCTATCATCAAACTAATTAAAATTAATAATATACATTAAATTATCTCCAATTATATAGATTAAGTCATAGTCCTTATAAAAAAATAAGTCATAGTTTGTACATAAATCAAATAAGATATTACAAATCACATACAATTAATCCAATATTTTAAATCTCTTGCTTTTATATAATTTTTAGTTTGGTGAATCTTATCGTCACAATATCATTAGGTCAACAGATTGTGGTAGTATTTAACTATGTTTCCATTTCCAATTACATTCAAAAAAATTCCTCTCAAACATGCATGATCACTAAGTTGCTCGAGTCTACCGTCCCATGCATTCAACCGACTTTCATCGGCTATCCATGAGCACTAGAGAGTCTTTACCGTAACCCGTCATTGATTGGAATGATTAAAAAAAATTATGAAGCACTAGTCGATAGAATATATTGACAATAGGGTTTTTGATAGTTTAGACGACGAATATATAATTTACAAGTTGTATTAGAGTAGAAAAATATTGAGTCATTGCAAAAATTAATAGTTTCTCATATTAAATGTATTTGTTATAAAAAAAGATTGGAACCCCTTATATAAAATCCTATCTATGCCACTAGCTACTGTTCCTAACTTCCTATCCTTGCTCTCTCAAGAGTCACCATCCATCCGAGAAGCAGTTGTTTTTCCGGCGAGAAAATCTAGATGAACAGAATTGAATTGCACCTTTTGACTTCCAAACAAATGATTAAACAACACAGTTCACACCTCTTTGAACAAAGTTCAAACAAGGGTGTTCAATGTTTTTGATAACTGCGAGACAGATCTACATTTAATTAGCCATACTCCTACGGAGGTTTAGTGAGAGCTCCAAAACTATGACTATGGCTAAATTTGCAGAGGAAAAGAGAAAAAGATAAAACTTGACAACTGGTGTCGAATTGTGATTTTTGCCAACCCTTTCTCCGTCATCTTCACCTCCTATTTATAGCCACCAGAAGTAACTGCCTCGAGAAATTGCTCTGCTAACGTGGAGTGGTGGTTACCCTCTCAACTGCTTCGATTATGTCATGCCATTGGTGGTTGTATCTTCTTCGGTCTTGGCCCCCTCACCTTGATAGTTATGCCAGTTGAGAAAAATGAAGAAGGCGTGAAGACCCCCTTGCTACATGTGGGTGGGTGTTGGGATCACATAGAGTAAAAATGGTAAAAATAGTTCACCACTACGAAAGCGGCATACTTGGCCAAATTTCATCCCCAAGTGGGTTATACTTAGCCAAATCCCCCTTACCACGTTGTGGGGGTGGCTCCCACACTTAGCCAAATTTTGGAATAGATGACAAGAGTGGTGAGTAGAGTGGCTTTGGCATGGGTGCCATGAGCCCAAAAATCCAATCCACGTGGCCCATCTTAATTGATTTTAATTAATATAATTAAATTCGCCTTATAAAATCATTTAATTCCTTGTTTTTAATCGGTGTGGTACAAAGTTAATTTTTATGGGTAAACAGCTGCAGACCGCTTGGGACTGCTGCTCTTGCTTTGTAAAGCTGCATGCTCCTTTGGTTGTTCCGGTTTGATGCTGCTAGCAGCCTTTGTGATCATTTGGTGGCCTACCTAACCTAGAGAGGAAGAAGGATAGCAACCCACGTCGCTGGTTACAGAGTTTGATGGAGTCAACATATGTCTTGAGCTAAGCTTTTCGGATGCAGTATTGTGTTTTGTCATGCTATTTTTTGTGGGAGAGATTCGTGTTTGTACTACTTGTTCTCCTTTTGTGCTGCTGCTATGTAACGGTTAGTTATCATAAATGGTCACAAACCTATTCACTTTGTACAAAATGGTCACAAACCTTTAATTTTGCACGTTTTGGTAAAAAAAGTTTGAGTGGATAACAAAAAGGTCAGCAAAACGTGGTAAGGGGGATTTGACCTTTTTGTTATTCACTCAAACTTATTTTACCAAAACGTACAAAATTAAAGTTTTGTGACCATTTTGTACAAAGTGAATAGGTTTGTGATCATTTATGATAACTACCCGCTATGTAACCGACCAACTCTTAGCGATGTTCTTTACAAAGTCATCGCTATAATCGGGCCCAAGCAGAATTTTGGTCCATCGGGCCCTCCTGGTCTTGGGCCTCCCGTAAAAAGAAGAAGTTGAAGATGCAGCTGGGGGGAGCCAAGCTCAATCCATATGCCGACGAAAATGCCAGCTTGAATCTCCACTGGGGGCAGGGGTCGCTACTTTCCAAGTTTGACAGTAAACCCAGAAAGACAACTCGGAAAGACAAACCACCTGCCACTTATTGCCTGTCTCTCTCGAATGGTTTGCGTTATTTTTGTTGATGGAGTATTGCTTGTAAATCTGTAATCTATAATCTATCTATCAGCATATTTCATTTTATTTTATTTTTTTGTTTCAAAAGAAGGGGTAATCAATCTATATCAGCATATTTCAATTGCGGGGTAAAGATTCGTACATTTAATCTTACTACTTTGGGAGGAAGAACACAGGCCAGGAGGCAATATGGGCACTTTTTGTCATTTGGTGCTCCTGACCGCTGGCTAGACCAGTCGTCGATCAGCATGTGTAGTAATTGAAGATAAACATGGGATTACAATTCTATAATCAAGGTGTGTAATGAGGCTGAATCTACCTCTTATCTCACATTTTTCATCTTGCACAAATTTGCTTTAACAGGTTGTTTGGATGAGTTAGTTGGATGAAATATTTAACTCGAAATGAAATGAGGTACTTTTTATCTAAATAAGTCCATTAACCAAATTACTACATTCCAAATTGAAATACCAAATGAAATGTCACATAATAAAATATTGCAGCATTTTGATTTGAAATACCACAGGAACCAAAATGATGCATCCAAACGAACCCTTAAAATTTTTTAGACATTTTTAGTTTACTGTATTCTTTTATTAGTCCGTTTTCCAACATATTAAGGATTCATTGCTACATGGAGAGGCAGGATGGTAACTGAATCTGAAATTACGGGTACCCAATTCAATCCAATTCGAGGTTGGCGGGTTTTGGGTTGGGAGCAAGTTTTACTCGCTTATCAAATTTGTGGGTTAAGCTGGATTTTAATTTTAGCAAAATCTAATGTGTTTTTCACTCGGTCCACACTCATATAGCAAAATACGTAATTTTGTATTTAATATGAATAATTTATGAATATTGTTATATTTATGACTATATAAATCTAATAATATGAATAATTTATGGATATTAGTAGTCTATATGAGGATATATTTGTAGAGAAAATTTTGATACCATTACAATATAAGTATTGGAACAAATAATGTATGGTTATGTTCATGAACATATGGGTACCCAATGTCCCGTGAGTAGGGCTGCAAATGAGCTAAGTCTAGCTGAGTTTTACCCCAGGTTGAGCTCAACTTATTAACAAATGAGTTGAACTTGACCTCGGCTCGTTTATTAACGACCCGAGCCGAGTCGAGATAGAGCTAGCTTGCTTACTAAAATCTTGACTCGTATTTGATATATTCATTTTGTATGTAAAGTATGATATATGTAATAAATGTCAGGATGATGATGATAATAATAATAATAATAGTTAAGTGTTCAATATTGACTACTCTAATGTTATACTTTGTGGTATCATATTATTTAGTTAATCAATTTTAACAAGTCAAAATTATGTTATGTCATATTATCGGAGCAATCTATGATACGATATATTTTTCAAATTAACTAAGACATATTTGCTCACATAATTTATGTGTTAAGCTTTATATAGGGTGAGTTATATATTTAACAATCCTATGAATTATCAAAATCAAACTCATATAGATCGATTCGCTCATAAGTCGATAATTAAGTTGGCTCTCTAGCCACAATATTAAGAGTTAAGACATCTCATGAGCTCTAAACAAGCTAGCTCACGAGTTGTGCTCAACAAGACCGAGTCGAGCTAGCTCGCGAGCTGCATAAGGCTTAGCTCAAACTCGGCTCATTAGTAAACAAGTCGAATTTCAAGCAAGTTTTTCCAAGTCGAATGTCGAGCTGCTCGCGAGCAGCTTGACTCATTTGCAACCCTACCCGGGGCGTGAGTATCCGCTGCCTTTGATTGGATTTTCACTTCTAAAATCCAAATATGTATTATACATTCGAGCAAGCCTTAGCCGCCGAGAATTCAATCCAGCTCACCCACAACCTTCTCGGCTCCGATCTCAACATCAGCTTCGGCCGCGCCACTTACCGCTCCCCTTTACCCCTCTACGACCCCAATTCTAGAAACCTCACCGACTTCAGAACCCACTTCACTTTTAGCATCTCCTCCCAAATTGAGGACTCTGGCAGCTACGGCGACGGCCTCGCCTTCTTCCTCGCCCCGGTTGGATCCAAACTTCCCCCTGACCTAACCAATGCCAGCTCCATGGGGTTAATGAGAGATGGACAACTGCTGAACACGACGCAGAACCGATTCGGCGCCGTGAGTTCGACATTTTCAGCAACGAATTCGATCAGGCGACGGGGAGCCACATCGGAATCGACATCAATTCGATGTGATACGTGATTGCATTGCCTTGGGAAGGAGATATAATGGGTGGGAATAAGAGCGATGCTTGGATTTCTTACGATTCGACTCTTCGAAATTTGAGCGTTGTGGTGACAGAGTATTTGGGGAATGTTTCGGTGATTCAGCGGCTGAGCTACAATTTTGATTTGAGGGATTACCTTCCCGAAGAGGTAAATTTTGGGTTCTCGGGAGCTACCAGGAATCAAAGCGCGAACAGGTTTGCGGGAGGAGGTGGGAGGAAGGAAGAAGAAGGGTCGGGTTGGGTCATGAGTTGGGTTGGGTTGGTTTTAATGACGTGGCGGGTTATAATGACATGGCGGGTCGAGTTTTATTTTTGTTGGGTTATATCGAGCTGATTAGGCAATTATGTTTGCCACATAAGCACTTAACGGACTTCATTAACGGAGTTGGACGGAGACTAATGGAGAGTGACTAAATGTGACCTGTTTCAGTAATTCGAGTGACTAAAATCGATATTAATTTTTTCTAGTGACTAAACATTTCCCGATTTAGTAATCTCAGTGACCAAATGTGTCTTTAACCCATTTTTTAATGGATCCAACCTGACTCATTGCCTCGTATAGAGAGGTGTCAAGTCAAGTGGCTTACTAAGTTAAGAAGTAATGGTGGTTGATTCATTCTATTTTCTTATTCGTTTAGTTAAGATGGAATAGTTGAATTTTTAGAAGAACAAAAGTGGTAGATAGGAATCGTGAGTGCATTGGATTTTGTCTCAAGTTGGAGAGTAGTTAGCGGCAAAAGAAGCCAGTCTTGATGATGATGAGACGTTTTTGAGCAACCACCATTACTTCTGTTTTGTGCTTTCTTTTGAGGAATTTTCTTTTTTACGAAATGACATTGGAAAGGTGTCTATGAAGATCGTGGTGTTACGTGGATTTTCCGAATTAGAGTCTCCACGCAACGTGTTCTCACGAATCGAACAAAGGAACTTGAGAATGATTTTAGGACGAAGAGAATAGATCTAGAACGAAGAGAATTATAGAGAATGTGAAGGCTAAAAATACTAAGTTATATTTGGGTTCCAATCTTCTCGTATCATTAAACGAAAGAAAAAGTACATATTTATAGACATAGAAGCCTCTACCTTCTCCTATCTATAACATGACTCTTACTCTTATAAGGAACTAATTAACAATAATCAAATTCTACTTAAACAAGGAAACTACAAATAAAGACAATAATAAAATACTAACATAATAAAGATAACTAGGCCTAGATAATTAGCCCAATTGCTACGATGGCCCAATTCTCGTAGCAATCCTCCCCCCTTAGCACAACCTTGCCCTCAAGGTTGATCTTCATCGTGGATGAATTAACCTTCCTCTTCGTCGGTGCAAGCTCCAATCATAAGTAGCATGTTCTTATTGGCACATCGATGGCCAATCATGAAACATTCATCGCAATAGAAGTAAAGTCATTGAGCCCTGTGCTACCTCTTCTGGTGACATTATGCCAGCATTGGGGTTACGTGGAGGACCTGCTCGCGGCGGCGACACTCCTGTCTCTACCGCAGCCTCCAATTCTCGTAACAATCCTCCCACTTTAACACAACCTTACCCTCAAATCATATAGTATACATTGTAACCGAAATGAACACAAACTTTTTCCAGAAACGATTCATATCTCTAGTAATCACCATATAGATGGTGGCGGTGAAGGTAGATATTTAGATTATTGGCAAAATAAAAGGTAGATCTTTAGATTCAAAGGATTTTAGAATTGAGTTTTGACCATCTCAATTCAGTTCTACCACTTTAATTATCACAAAGAAAATTATATAGCCGTGTTAAAAGGGCCCTCGGGGAATTTGCCGAGTTTTCGCTAACAACAATCATGGATGATGGCGAACAGTAGATGTGTCAATAATGGAGACTCATATCATATCCCCTCCCCTCCCTAGAACGGAGAGCCTCTTGACTTATCAAAATGCCCACTTGGTGAAATGGAGGGTTCCTCTTTTCTCTGAACTGTCTATTTCTCCTCTTCCTTTTCCTTTTCCTTTTCCTTTTCCTTTTGTTTTCTTCTTTCCACTGTTAATAAGTTCTGTTGTTATTACATTTACATATGTACACGAGCAGTTGCATACTTAAGACAGAGTGGGGTACCCATTACCATCTTAAATAGTATACTACCCCGCCTTGGCTGCAAATGAGCTGATTGGTTAGCAAGCGACTCGGCGCTCGACTTAGGAAAAGCTTGTTCGATACTCGACTCGTTTATTAATGAGTTGAGTACGAACTAAGCTATGTTTCAGCTCATGAAGCTTGCGAGCCAGCTCGACTATGTGGCTTGTTGAGCTAAACTCATGAGCTGACTCGTTTAGAGCTCATGAGATGTCTCACATTGTGGCTAGAGAGCCAACTTGATTACCGACTTATGGGCGAATTGATCTATATCTTATGAATTTAATTCTTATGATTGTTAAATTATAAATCTCACTCTATATGAAGTTTAACACAATGAGTATGTGAACAAATATATATTATTTTTATTTTAAAAGGAGATTTTATAAAATAGATTGCTTCGATACTGTTAAATAACATGATTTGGACTAGTTAAAATTTATTAACTACATGATACCAACAAAGTATAATATGAGATTAGTTAATATGACCGTTTGACTACTATTTTACTAAACAAGCCTAGCTCGACCTCGACTCGACTCGACTCGTTAATAAATGGCTCGAGCTCGAGCTCAGCTCGTTTATTAACGAACCAAACTCAAACTGGGGTAAAACTCCACTCGTCAATAAATTTCTCTTAATTAAACCGTATTAAGAGAACTATACAAAAATCAATTGAAGTGTTTAACTGCAACTACTAAACTTATTAAACTATAATTAACCGGTGACCTTTTGTCCAAATGTCAATCATTTATTTTCTCCAGACATGATTCGAGAGTAATTAAACATTAGAGGCTGCGTGGCAGCTGCTGAGCCGCTGGGTGCAAGGGTAGGTAGGTCCTTGGTACTGGGAGGGGGGCCCTAATCATTGTGCTTAAACCTTAACAATTGGTAATTGGTTCCCTTAATACGGTTTAATTATAAAAGTAATTAAAAGGGTTCTTCTTCTTCTTTCCCTCATTTGAATATATATAATAACCTGTTTTATTGGAATTAATATATGGCTTTTCAGGCTGTTGAAGAAGTGCCCCTACACGAACTACGAGCGTACACATTCACGGCACAAACTACCAAACGAGAGAGAGAGGGGCGACGAAAGCTAGAACAATAATATGTATAAATAAATAATTTACAAAAACATTTAATGAGAAAAGAGACGCCCATGCTAGAGTGGCAGGTTATTAATTATTAAGGAGTGGGTTAATCCCTCTATTTTAATTAGGTTAATTAAATCAAATTGAATATGGTGCCAAAAGTGGTCCAGAAGAATCTTTTCCGTTTTAGGAAAGGGCTCCAGCTTGCTTGAAGGGGTCACTGTCGTCCTTAACAAACAAACAATTACTTATAAGGACAGACCATATGCACACACAGACACGCTTCTTTCTTTCTTCTTGTTTTTTTTTCCTGGAAAACAATTAATTATTTGAGAACTGGGCGACAATAACTTAGGGGCGGAATGATTAATTCAAGAGTCTGACATTTGAAACTCTAATTCACTTCGCTAATATAATTGGTTATTTTTATAATAATGGGGATTTAAAATATAAAATCCTTTTTATTCATTAATAAACATGCTTAGTGTTCATTATATATTTTGCATCAATTATTAATACTTCTAACTTCTAGAAAATGTAAAGACAGACAGTTTTGATAATCACTTCAGCTATGTTATGATTTTGACAATCGATGATAATAAATAATATTCAAATAGTCTTTTTCATGACATATATGCTAGTTATAGTTTAAATTAGTTTTTTCCCCTTAATCCCATATATTAAATCACATACAAAAATATCATCTGCTCAATTCTTATATAATCTAATACAAAATCACTTGTGACAAACGTATTCTTAAACTTCAATGTCTAAAGTAAGCCAAAAAGAATCTATTGGTTTTACCATGTTAGTGTACCAATCACTTGTGACATGTTTATTTGACAAATCAAATGTATAATGAAAGGGAAATTGTTTTTTGCTGAACACGACCACTGAAAAGTATAGTCAATGACACACATACGTGACAAGTGGAACCAACCACAACTAGTTTCCTTTTACACAATCAATCGAAGGAAAGCAACCTCTTTCATTCATTAGTTAAGACTACTGAACTAATCAAGCAATATACGGGTGGTAAAAGAAAAACTAAACTAATTACAATATCATTACCCAACAACCAAAAGGAAATGCCCGAAAAGCAAAGCAGCCAACTCCATGGGTGTGTTTTAAATATGTTTCTTTTCTACACTTTTCTGCGTATTGTGCCATACTGCTGCACTGTCTACTCTACCTAACTCCAATAGTGATTGATTTCTTAATTAATCCCAATAATTAAATTGTGCCACAGCATTGGCGGTCTTTTGATGTGCCATCTCCCCAATAAGGCATCGCCTCAGTTACAGTTCGACCATTAAATTATCACAAGCCTAACCGAAAGCAGCAAAACCAGGGTAAGGGTCGTTTGCTTGTTGGATTTGGGTCATGGATTTGGTATCCAAATCCCAAGCTTGATGGATTTAACATAAGTCCATTGTTTGTTGAAGGATGCTAAATCCGTGGGGTCTACGGATTTGCTCTTTATTTTGGAACCAAATCCGTGGACCCCACGGACTTGTAAATCCCACATATTGATTTGGGATTTGCAAATCCTTGATGGTTAGTTATTTATTTAACAAATTCATCACAAATCCATCATCAAATCTATCATGCAAACATTAGACTCTTCAAATCCATAATCCAATAAATCCAACATAAATCCCAAGGTTTTTGTTGGCCAAAACCCTCATTTTTCAAATCCAACAAGCAAACGATTAGTTTCTCTTTTTGCTTTCTCAAAATTTTCCATATGTATTAGTTA